TAGCCACGCTATCTACTAATAATACTTGTTTTCTGAATTTAGCCAATGTACGTATAAACGCTGTATATTATGTACATTTAAAAAATAGGTGAAATGTAAATTAATTCTGCTACATTTCAATTGTCAAAGAAGGATGGCGACTTCCCGTGCATTTTAAGACCCAGTGTTTTTGACGACGTTCATTTAAAGAGACCTATCAATACTTATGATTTATTACCATAGCATAAAACAGCTAATTGTAATAGTACAGCATGTAGAAGCTGGAATTGTAAAGTTGATATAGGTTATGTTTATAACATGTCCTATATTTCGCTTCAGATTTTGTTCGTAGCCATTGACTTACAATTATATGGACGTCGGGTCCGCGCTAAAAAGTGTCCGAACTTATAGGGCGTTAAAATCGTATACAGAGCGTCATTCACGCTTTAGTCTTCGTTTGTTCGACTGACAACGAAGCAAGCAATATTAGACAGTACTGCGATGACATTACAATTTAAATTCAACGTTTTAGCTTTTTTTTTTCAACTTTTTCATATTCCTATACATGTCACTACGTTTAAATATGTTGACTTGGGACATTTTTTTCGTGGTTTTTGTATTAGACCCGTCGTCCATTTGTTTGTAAGTCAATGTTCGTAGCAGTAGAAAACAACAAGTTTTTAGTTTGTTCCCAAAAATAATAAAGAACTTGTTGAATATTCCCAAATGTGCCAAACAAACATTTAATACTCATGAAATGTTAATATGTTCTGCCGCAATGAAAATTAATAAAAATTAAATCTGCCCAAATGGCGGAAATATGCCACAAATGGTCACATTGTTCTCAATCTGACATTGACAAGAGGCCTCCACTAGTTTGTTATAATTATTAATACAAAGATCGAACACTCGGAAAAAACACTCAGAAAAAATTCCTTCGATCCGGTCGGATTCGAACCGACGTCTTCTTGCATACCGTGCCAGACGCTATACCAACTAAGCCACGGAACGAACCAACGGACCTCACGAATTTTTCTATGTGCTTGCGTCGTGTCTTTGTACTTGGTTTTTCAACGACTTTTTAGTCGTAGCGCCATCTATGAGAAATCTTTGACAGATTTAATACCCAGTTAGTACCTTTACAGCTACCAGTCCTGGCGAGAGATGTCGCTATTCACTGTATTAATTAAATTTTTATTGAATTGATATTCAATTATTTTTTGTGAAATTACTCCACTAGTTTGTTATAATTATTAATACAAAGATCGAACACTCACACACGAACAAACTAGTGGAGTAATTTCACAAAAAATAATTGAATATCAATTCAATAAAAATTTAATTAAGAGGCCTCCAGTCAAAATGTTAATTTTAATATGCAATATTTTTGTCACATTGCGTTTTATTTTTTACTTTATTTATTTTCACTTTATGTTATTTCTGTTTAATTGATTATTTGATTAGGTATTTTATAGCTGTAATGTTTTATGTGTGTACTATAAAATAACCAATACTTTAGCTAGGTAAACATTCATTCATGCTTAAAATTAAACGTATGTATAAGATCGGTACTACGTTGTGTTCTTGCATTTATTCTAAAATACATTGTTATGCAATATCTTCATTCCAGACAAAAATATACATAAATATATTGATAACTTCACGTAACCTAGAACGTAAAATTATACTAGCAAAGGCTCTTCGTTAATTTTATAATGATTGGGTCAACTTTTGCCATCCTTCTTTTAAAATAATGAAACGCCTTCACATTCATGTTACAAATATTGCTTATTAATTTTGCTGATACGTTATTGATAGGTGATAAACGCAAACGGACTCACAGCGAACTTGACAATTGAAAGGTAGTCCAAATCAAACAACCTTTACCATTGGAACCCCTTTGATATTGTGAAAAATCTACAAGATTACAATTTACCTTATGTTTTTTGTACTTTATTTACTTGCTTTCAAGGGCGTGTTCTTTGTTTAAATCTCACCTGGTTATAAGCGACGATATGTCCGATCATGACACGCGAAAGTCTTTTGAAAAAGAAAAGATATTTGTTTTGGATTAGTTCAAAAATTAACTATCAAGTTTCGTATTAATTCATAACTACGTTGAAGGAGCTAATTGCTGTACATTGTTGTCGAAGTGACGTGCAGTAAAATTTATGGAATGTTTCATTTTACGACACAACTCGGCATTTGTTTTTCAAATTCGAAGTTTTTAAAAATGAAATCTAATACGATCGTCACTTAGCAGCGACGACAGTGAAAATAGCAGTTTAAATATGACTTTTTATACTACCCTTTTTTTAGTATCTTTCTATATAAATTTGTTTTTTGTGTGCAAATAAAGTATAGTAGGTATATTAATTTTCATTGCAATATTCGTTGCATTGAAATATATTAAGTAAACATTTTTATTTTCGTTGTACTAAAACTTGCAATACTAGTTATAAATCTAAAAACATATACATGAACTCGATTTTGATTTTATTTTTTTCGATAATGAATTGAGATTTCATCTCACTATTGTAATCTGTCAAATCGGCCATCATAGCGTGCCTGTACTTTAGTAAAAAAAATATGTACAGAGAATAAATCTTGGTCTAATTTAACTTAATCCTGTATAAGGCTAGTACAACGTGCTTAACTGCACCACTTTCTATTGAACTGTCAGTTAAGTATTATATATTCCTGCTATATCATTTGCGGCATAGCTAGGTGCTAGGTGCAGTTAAACCATATGGATGAAGACATTTAACTCTTGCTTTTGTTTGTGGAAAGAGGATAACCACCTGTTGTACTTTGTCTTTTTGATTGTCTTTTTATTTTCTTCTGAGAGATAGATCGACTATTTGAACGTGCGTACGACTTGAAATTTCTATAATGTATGTACACAAAACATTTGTGAAATTCAGTAGTAGAACTCTCGGTGACGCTGAAGGAAACATGCCCGTCGAAGATAGAAGAAGAAAAGAAAGAAAATACATTTATTTGTACACCACACAAGAAAAAAAGAAACAACACGGAAAGAAAAATAAGAAAAACATTCATACTTAAGACACAAATAAATAATTACGGAACAAATCACAAACATACACCACAGATTATTTAATTAAACATAAAACATTAAGTGTATAATCTCAGTACAGAGTTCTAAAAAAACTGACCTCAAAAGTACGTGGAATTACGTCTATTTGCTAAGTTTTTTTGATATATCCCCTAGTTCGCCACTATACAGGACTTGACACTGGAGATAATAAAAATCGGTTCTCACTACTCAAAGTATATTGAGAGGAAAACGCCTTGAATTGGAGAAATAGCAAAATCAACCATTAAAGTAATTGCTCCTAAATTAAAGTTAGGCGCTATTTATAAAAATGAATCTTCATGCGTGAACAGCCACCCTTCGAGGTGGATGATTTTCTTCAAAATGAATTGGGGCCACTATGGAAGTACTCCATTTCCAACACAAAAAGAATCCTGAAAATCGGTTCACAACTACCGGAGTTATCGCGTAACATACATACAAAAAAAGAACATACAGTCGAATTGAGAAACTCCTCTTTTTTTGAAGTCGGTTAAAAATATACTTTATGTGATGCCAGCTGCGGTGACGAAAGGATGAAGTTCACGACCGTAGCAAAAATTGGAATGAAAGCATCTCCTTGGAGGAGTACCGTGACCAGCTACTCTGACGTATATTAGGCTGATGATGAAAACAAAAAAATCATCATGAGCCTATTTATGCGTCCCACTGCTCTGGTCTCCTGTCAGGTGAGGGTTTAGATCATAGCCAGTCACGCTGGTCCAATGCGAGTTTATTGACTTCACTGGTCTTTCTTCTTCGATGTGCAGGTTTGATCACGATGTTTTCCAGCTCATGGTAAATGTTAAATTAAATTTCGCACATAATGTCCAAAAAACTCAGAGGTGCGATTGCGGATTCGAACCTCTTACCGCCTCTCGGCATCTGCTTGAGATGCGGTAGGCCAAACTATTAAGCTACCGCGGCTATAAAATGTTAACGACAAAAAAGAATAGAAATAAAATTACAAAGACACGACAACAAACTCATAGAAAAATATGTGAGTTCCGCTGATTCGTTCCGTGACTTAGTTGGTATAGCGTTCTGGCATGCTAGAAGACGTCGGTTCGAGTCCGGCCGGATCGAAGGAATTTTTTCTGAGTGTTCGATCTTTGTATTAATAATTATAACAAGCTAATGGAGTAATTTCACATATAAAAGAATTGAATATCAATTCAATACAAATTTAAATACAATGAATAGCGACATCTCTAACCAGGGCTGGTAGTTGTAAAGGTGTCTAACTGGGTGACGAAATACTTAAGATTTCTCATAGATGGCGCTACGGCTAAAAAGTCGTTGAAAAAACCAAATACAAAGACACGACAACAAACACATAGAAAAATTCGTTTAGTCAGCTGGTTCGTTCCGTGGCTTAGTTGGTACAGCGTCTGGCACGGTATGCTAGACGTCGGTTCGAATACGGCGGAATTGAAGAATTTTTTTCTGAGTGGTCGATCTTTGTATTAATAATTATGACAAAAGGAAGCTTAGAATGAATATGAATTAATAGACAAAAATAAAGAATAATGTTGGAATCGGTTTCATTGAGTCAATAAGTATTACGTAATAAGTACGTATTTGCTATAGGTTTTGACGCTTGCCTTGTAGAACACCTTCAGCCCACAGATAGGATTGTAATTCTAGTCACGAACAAGTCTGAACCACTCCTCAAAGATACCGTAAAAGGCTCTAATCTAAATAGGCAGCTCAACTAGTCTGAGCACTTCAATCACTTATCAATTTAGATCTATGAATTTAAAAAATAATAATATTATCTATGACGAATGTAATTAAAAATCAATTATGATATATTCTGGTGCGGTATTTTTTACTTATTTACACGTAAGGTATAGATTCAGGAGCTTTTGTTGCTATGGTAATAATAAGATCGTGGTCAATTAACATATATTTTCTATTGTTACAGATTTACAATTCGGCACCCAGACACGCTCCCTGGGGGACTTCCAAAACGTGTCATCTAATCACCCGTCTGGCGACACAAATTCCAACATCATCACATCCCACCAATCCTCCGCCTCCCATTCCACACAACGCACCCCACCACAATCCCCACAAAATAATAAAAACAATGAAGAACCGTTAGTAGCCTTGCCAAAAGCCTTGGTCAAATCCGAAGACGATTTTGACGTAAACGAGTACTTCGCAAGACTTCACGGTACGAGATATGTCAGTGCGCCTCTAAATAGTTCTTTGAAAGAAGATCAAAATGCGAATTTGGAGGCAACAGACGAAAATTTAGAAGAAATTAACCTAAACGAACCTGAAAAACCAACCGATGTACCGCAAAGTTTGACTGCTGACATCGCACAAAACTTTTCGCAGCTACCCACAGTATTACCTCAAGTTGCAAGTGCGGTATTTAGTTCATTTTCAAATATGCTGAGTTTGAAGAGTCGTGATCAGACTCCCGATGACGTGAAGAATACTTCAGGATATCAAGATGTGCAGTTTGAAAGGCCTGGCAGTACAGTGACTTCAATGCCCATGATGGATGATTTTAGAGTTAAAGAATTACTGCCACCACCAAAGGAACCGCCTGTTACTGGTAAGTGGTTTATATTTTTTCTTTCCTACACTACTTTTAGTCTAGTGACTAAAGAACATACAACAATTATAAAGAAATAATTTAAAGCTTGCAAAAAAAATTGTTTCAAAAATTCTATGCCCTCAAATTCTGGAAGCGAAACGAGCTTTATTTTTTATGGTGATACCCAAATGACTGGACGAACAAGTCGTGCGCGTTATTGGTAAGCGACGCGTCACGCAGAGCTTTAAATCGCCAAGATCTGAGGGGCACTGCCACTGCGCGCGTCACCCTGAAACGTAAGTTGACAAGTCCCATGTAATACTCATTTTATTATGTCTGTGTTTGTGTACACATGTGTATATATGCATATTTGCATCTATCTTAAGTGGCCACAATCCTTTATACGTTTTACTCTCATGTTATAGTTAGCAAAACGTGTAGTTTGTTTCTATTTTAGATTAGTTATCGTAGTAAGAAATTGAGTCGTGTTGAATCTAATGATATTTCTAAAGTATCATAAATTATGAATATGATACATAAATTTGGGTAAGCATCTCAAATTTTTATTATTTAGCCATTACATAACACACCATTTCTTAATTGTGTGTATTTGATTGCGTACATAAAAATGTCAGTGTGTCGTCTGTGGTATTTGTTTGGTGCGCCTGTGACACACTCCATGTGCTCCACATAATACAAGCGCCTTGGCTGTTCTCAGCCACGGCATAATAACAGAGTGGATGAGAGGTGGCCCATTCCGTATCTTAATTTTAGATTTAATTTATTTTTGTTTATTTTGTAAGCACAATTTAATCATACTGAATACAAAATTTCTTTCTTTCTTTCTTTCTGTTACTACTTGGCAGCAGAAACAGCTAATGTGGTGTTGTACTTCCTTGGACGAACTTTTTCACAAGGAACTCTACAGCTTTTTGGACATTCTATGAACGGAAATACTCGGCTGTTGTTTACAAACTGATCCAAATTATTAAGTATTATTTACATTCGTTGTTAACTGACTTCCAAAAAGCAGAAGTTTCTCGATTCGACGGTATTTTTTCTGTGTACGTTATGCGATTACTCCGATATTTGTGAACTGATTTTGATGATTCTTTTTGTTGGAAACCTGTTGTTTTTTTGGGGTACCTTAGTAGAGGTATCATTCGAATTTATAGAATCTGAAGAAGAGCGAATTTGAAGAAAGTATCCCACGGCTAAAGTAAACTCGATTTGCTACTCGAGTCAGCAATCACGTCAACTCGAGAAATTCGACCCATCGCTAACCTATGTACTTCTCCTAGCTCCCATCTATATACCGAAACTCCTCAAAATTGGTTCGAAAATGCGCGCGTAATGTGGATTAAAGAGCGCGAGCGGAGATAACTGCGCGAGAGCAGTCGACAGCTCGAGCAGTCAGTGTATGCCTGGCGGTTGCTTGACTCCACGATGAAATTTCACCGCGTTGCAAACCGTCCAAAGCAGTCACAACTGCTGGAGCGGTTTGGTGTATGTGTGTACATAGAAGACTGTAGTTTGCTATGTGGTCGCAGCTTGAAGCAGGCCTTAGATGGAGAGATTCTCGTGTCGAAGATACGATTATCGAAAAATTATAAAAAACTCCTCCTACTCCTTGTAAACAGAACTTGAAAGCAATAATCGTATTTCGAGTTTTTATGCCAGGCTGTTGCTACCATGAGTGCAGTGCGCAAGGTTGTTTTGATTATCACTGTTTTTCTAAGACAAAATTTAATGAAACGAGAACGAAAACACACGTTGGGTTAAGAAATGTTATAAAATTAAAAAAAAATTATATTTCTTTACAGTGTAATATGAGTGCAATGAACCTAATATTAGTAGCAGTTCCAAATTTGAATGACTTTGCGTCATTTTGATGTATGTCAACACCACAGTAATCACTGGACTCGAATGATAATTCTCGCACTCAAAACTATTATTATTTGTACGATAATTGTATGAACTTGAAAAAATGTCATACAAGGTTGTGTTTAGACAAGTCGAAAACTATCTCCTTTTGTTTACTTATTAATTTCTCTGTGTAATCAGTCGAAGAGGCGATTAAGTTGCTTGCGAATCTCGTATGACATAATCGTAGGCGAGATTTTAGTTCTTGCCTGAACGTCCACATTATGATACGATCTTAGAATAATTACGCATAGAAACCTAGCCTGCACACGCTAAGTGAGGCAAATTGAAGCGCTCCCAATGGGCCTACACGAGCGGGCGGGCCTTCAGTGCTCAAGGTCAACTTGCACCGCGAACAGCTCAAGAATTTTAGCTAAAAATGACGAAATGTGCGGTAAATGAGTGTAAAAATACGTCAAACAAACATAAAATAGATACTAACATCACATTCCACAAGGAAGTAACGCGTTTCAACTTGTATTTTTATATAAATATTCACTAAAACCGAAAATTAACCTACTACTAAAACTAGCCTACATGAATTTGATTTTTGCCTCACTTGTGACAGTTCGTTTGATGTGAAACTATCATTCTATGCGTTATTATTCTAAGGATACGATAATGTTATGGCGGTTATTGCTTGCGATAATCGCGTACGATTTTTTGTCACTCTCTCCATCTAAATGGACCTTTAATTGGCATAGCGTCTGATACGGTTTGCTGAAAAACGTTGATTCGAATCCAGCCGGAACGAAAGAATTTTTGCTTAATGTTTCGATCTTTGTATTAATAATTTAAAATGCCTTTGATGAATCATGCATTGACGGTGTAAGCACAAACAACGTTGACCCTAAAACAGATATTTAATGGCAGCGAGTAAATCGACGCAGTTTACTCGATTACCATATGTAGTTCAAGTAATTTATATAATTACGTGTAGTTTTTGACTTACGTTACGAAGTATCTGCAAAGGGTCAGTTTATATAAGCCAATATTGACGTAATATTCTTGTGTATTGTAACCAGTGGTCGGAATTGAGGGAGATAAATTACCTTAAGTATGAACGTTTTCTTAGTATGGACGTAACCATTTCATCATCAATGCGTATAAAATTTCTTGTTTTATTGTTTATTTTCTAAGCATTCCAAATGTTTATTTTTTTACCTACAGAAACGCAACTACAATATTATTTTTTGAGACAATAATTTGTAGAAAATACTTGTTCACGAAAGTTCATGCTACGTCCCGCTCGCACGGTAGCACCGCCCCTTTCGCACGGGCGGCATGACAAAAGAAAGTAGGGCCGGATGGTATAAATATGACCCGGAGCGGGCGAAGCGTCATTCTCTTCCAATCCAGACCCACGACGCAACAACGCATGACAGGATCTCTTCTAATCCACAATGGCAATGCGACGACATATCTGAGAAGCCCTCAAAACTTCTGTCAAGTGTGGGTCGTCGAAGGTACCCACGATATTTAATAGGAAATAATCATTTGTTGCACATGTATACTAATTTAAATAAATAATACGCATATTCAAATACCACAGAGTTTATCCCCGTTCTCCGTCACACATACGTCCGGAACAAACTATGAAATAAATAATACGCGACCAAATTAAAAGACGCGAAAGTCTTTGACCAGTGTGTGTTGCCAGTGACCACATATGGATCGGAAACGTGGTCCCTCACTATGGACCTCATAAGAAGGCTCAAGGTCACTCCGCGGGCAATGGAGAGAGCGATGCTCGGTATTTCCCTACGTGATAGAATCAGAAATGAGGAAATCCGTAGGAGGTCTAAGGTAACCGACATACCTCGAATAATTCCTCAGCTGAAGTCGATCCGATGGTCGTTAGGGCGGAAAGGTTCTTCAATGGCGACCGCGCACCGGACGACGCTCAGTGGGTAGGTCCCCACCAGGTGGACCGGCGATCTGGTAAAGGTCGCGGGAAACCGATGGATGCGGGCAGCGCAGAACCGATCGTCGTGGAGATCGTTGGGGGAGGCCTGTGCTCAGCAGTGAGCGTCGTATGGCTGAATGAGGATGTTGATGATGACAGTAATTGTTCCGGACGGATATCGGACGCAGAATGGGAGTAGACTCCCAGTTCCCGAGAAGTCCCTGGATTTTTAGAAGGGAATGTCCACGTTATTCTTTAGTTTACCTAAATTAACTCTCTCAATTCCGATCACTGATTATAACGTATAATTTTATTTTGTCGTAAAAAGATAGGTGCTTTGTCCAAACTAATATTATCAATGCGAAAGTAACTCTGCCTGTTACCCATTTCAGGGCGTTTTGTCAGACCTTTTACGCGTGCAGTCTGTGGACAAGCTACACTAAAAAGACGGCATTGATTCTGCATGTTCAATATAATAATGGATTTAAGGACTGTTTCTTCTTCTTCTTATTTAAGAGCTAGGTTCTTTTCGGTGGAGTAATCACCAATCATCTCTGTTTAGCGCTATAGCCTTGACTTCCTGATACTACATGACATTCACTTTTTCCTTTACCTGATTTAAATAACTTCATCTCGGTCTTCCTCTGCCTCTCTTTCCTTCGATCTTCCCTTCTATTATGTTTCTAAGAAAACTGTCCTGACGCATCAGATGACCAAACGTTTCCCCCTTCGGTTCTCTATTTTTCTATAATAATACGCTTCTCCTTTCATTTACTATTCTTAACATCTCATTGGTCTTTCTTTAGGTCCAACTCATTCCCTCCATGTTTTTCCAGCATCACATCTCAAATGCCTCCAATCGATCTCTGTATCTCTGTGTCATTGTCCACGTCTCACAGCCATACAATGCAATACTCGAAATATACACTTTTATCAATCGTTATCTGGCCTTTTTTAAAATGTTTGCTTTTAATAGATGTTTTTTTATTGTTGAAAGCCGTTTTAGCCATAAGAATAAAAAACAACAAAACAACAGAAACTATGTCCGAAGTACACCTGGAATGACAAGCTATCAAACTACCCAACTATCTAAAGTTAGTTATTTCATCCAATGATTTGTTCCTTAGCTTTATGATTGGTTTATCGTTATAGGGTTTTGGATTTTTACAATTGGTGAGTACTTTTGTTTTATTAATATTCTGTACGGACCGTTTACACGGGGCCAATATCACTACTGTCACTATTACTAGACAATTCTAACAAAACGGTAACTATCACTTAAACCCCGGAATATGGCGGATTGCTATCTGCGATTGCTAAACAATCAATCCGATCGAACGAAATGTTAAAATGGACAGATTGGTTATTGACACGAACAAACTGCCATTTTCGAACAGAGGCCTATCCGTGTTCTGTGATCCACCCTCTCAAAGATAGATTGATTTTTAAGATAGCTCTCTCCGGACAACGTCTCTAACTCAATCCGGAGATCGGTTATTGGCATGCTTCACCCAAAAAATGGATTGAAATATCAATCTTATATAGCAAAATTTGGATTAGGATCGATTATTAATTTCGGGCGTAAACCAAGACGTTATTGGCGTCGTACAAATAGAGACAATCCATTATGGAGTGTCTCCAGACAACGATTTGTAATATTTCGGGCCAAAGTAATTTAGGTCGTCGGCCTAGTCTGAATCAAACACGCTACCACAACTCAATCTTCTTATTAGGCTATCAATATGATAACTTTTTGCTTACCAATAAAATAAACAAAATAGTATTACAAAGTAAACTATTCCGGAAATACATTATAAAAAAATAATATAGGTGGTATAATCATTTTGACCTTTATCACGAGATCAGTAGAGGTCATTTAGATTTACTCATCGTATGTCGTGGGAAATACGCTATGGTGGGGCCCTTAAAATGTATCTCGCTTACGTGGTAAAATAAAATGGTACCTATGTTTATATTTTGAAATTTAGAACTGGAACAATCTCTTTCGTCAAAAATTAAAAAAAATACCATTACATATTTTGTACTTTCAAACGAACCTGTTGAAAAAAAAAAACTATATTTGTACTTTCTAATCTTGCTGTAAGACACCATTGCGATCTGTTTTAAAAGTTTTTTTTTTTGTTAAATTACATATCAAATGTAATTTGTGTCTTAAAAATCTTTAAGTGCCTTCAAATTAGATCTAATAGAAGCGCTTTGGTAATTGTTAGTTCATTAATTGTGTCTGCAAAGGTAGCGCGCGTGTCACGACAGTGGCGTTGCAACTGCACTTTTATATGTAGCATGGAAATTAGTAGTAACATCAAGTGACATGAACAAGTGAGTGAGGAGATGAACAAGTCGTGCGCCTGATGGCAAGCTACAAGCCTGTCCATAACAGTTACAATGCCATTCAGAAATTCAAATCGCAAAATCTGAGGGGCGCCGCCACTGCGCCTGTCACCCTGAGAGCGCGTTCCCACTATATCGTGACGACAGATTGTCGTGCAGTTTACAGTGTCGTGGCTTGTATATTTAAATGAAGTTGTTCATATATAGCACGACACGGTTAAACGTCGTTCACGATGTTTTATCTTTACAACGACAAACTGTGTGTCACAGTGGGAACAGCTAGAACGACAGTCGTCAGACGATAAAAAATCGTCCACGACAGATAGTCGTGATATGGGAATAGGCTAGACACGACAGTCGTCCAACGATAATAAATCGTGACGACATAGTGGGAACGCGCCCTGAGTCACAAGTTGACAAGTCTCACGTGCCTGTAATTTTACCAGCACCCTTATCCTTCAAAACCGGAACACAGTAATGCTGACATTACTGCTTAGCGGCAGAAATAGGTAAGGTGGCAGTACTACCCTGGACGAACTCTTTCACAAGGAGTTCTACTGCTACTAAATATATTATACCAGGTTCACCATCAAATACAGCTTCTGTTACTAAGCATGAAACACACAGAGAGGGCGTGCGGGTATAATTCCGTCCGACCCGACACGCGCCCGACACGCGCCCCGCCAGCACCAGCGCTCTCGGTGTGTTTCAGGCTTTACTCGTTTTCTTGCATTGGTAAATACATAATAATATATATTTTTCACCTCGCTTTCTTTCTCATTCGAAATCTGCGCGCAAAAGCATTCATTGCACGCTGACGTGGAAAAACTTTTTGAAATTCAAACTTGACGATGGACCGTGGTGCACTTAACTTTTTCTTTTGATGAAAAAAGAAAATAATGACACGTTCAACTACACGATTTGTCGTACATTACTATTTATGTAATGTAAATCCGTTGGTATATTTTATTCTTATTATTGTTGACATTGAATTGACAATTAAATTATTTTAATTCGTCGAAGAATAAAATAATTTCGATAATCACGTAATGACACAAAATAAAAGTATAAGCAAGAATAAAAAATTATGAAGTGTAAATTCAGAACGCATCCGAAGATAAACTAGTTTCTTTTATTAAAAAAAAAACTGATGTTTTATGGTTCAATTGTTTTTCTTTCATCTACCATTTTCCTCGCTATAGTGAGGTGAAAGTTGTATGTTTCGCTCGGCAGCAAGGTTGTTTTGCGACTCGTGCCTTGAAAACCTCGCTGCGCTCAGGAATCTATTTTCGAATCTAATCTTGGCTTCTTTCGCTTGCTCAGGTTTCAGGTTTCTAACAAAAAGTTTTGAAATTCATTTTGAAGGCTGAGGTTCAGAATACGATTTGTAATACAATTCATCACAACACGTTATTAAAAGTTACTCAAAATGAATTCGTTAAAAGATTAAATTTGTGTATCCAAGAAAATGGAGCTCATTTCGAGCAACTAATTAGTTAGATTACCATTTTTTTCGTTTTATTAAAATACGTTAAGGTTTCATCGCTTTTTTTTTTTCATTTAATTAACCAATTTTGTGAGAGAGATTTTATTCTTATAATTAACCCTATCGATCGATGCAATAAAAGTGCAGGGTGCAATTTTTTCAGATTAAAGCGGGTTCGATTCCCGCGTGTTGCTAGAAATTTTGGAAAATCTATGAATGAGTTTTATTTCTTTAAAAAAATAAAGGAATGTTTCCTTTAAGTAAAAATTTCTATCTCCAGTATTAAGAGTACTTTCCCTCCAGGTGGCATTACAAATTTCCACCCGGTATACCTAGTGTATTTGTTTGTTAGTGTATTTCCACCCTTTGCCTCTTTATAAGAATGAGAATGGAGAAAAATAATTATAAACATTTCAATTGACATTTTCCGTTTTCGTTTCGTAATTGTTTCTCTGTGTCCGTCACGTATAAAACATCTGCAGTACAAAATTAACTCATGTCGATACTGTGTCCCTAGACGACATATAACGAACTGCTGGTGTATAATACCCTTAACTACCGATACTTACTAGTTATGAACGATGTAAAGCGCTGTTCCAAATAAGAAAGCAGTACTAGATGCGCCACAATAGGCCTCACATTATGTTCAAACCGCCGACAGTGGTCATTCCGCGAGTGCAAATCTTAGCACCGCGATGCAGAATTTGCGATATCGACGCCAATGCCATATAGCGGTGCGCGACGGAACTAATTTGAGTCGTTGCATAATATGTGATTTTGTTGCACTATAAGTTTATTTGAAAAGAGCAACCCCTAGAGATTTTTGCTCTTCCTTGTCAGGGAAGTCAACACAGTGAATGAGCAGTAATCGTTTTAAAAATTACGTTTTCACGTTTATTTGATTTTAACCACAACCTTTACTTGTTCACAGGTACATCAAACTACAGACTCCCGACAAAGAAGAAATACGCACAAATTCCAGGTTTTACGTCTAACACACAACCCGTCTACAATCCTATGACGCAAAATGTTTTCCCTCAGTTACCACCCTCAAGAAGTGAAGTCCAAAATGATGATCCGAACAAGTTTTATATGACACCTGATCAAGGAGCTGGCTTTTCAAGGAATATTGGACACTTTGAATCTAATAATAGCATTTTGAATCCGTTTTCAAAAACTAAAGAAGATAATAAACTCGTCACGCCTCCAAACTCTCCTGCCGATGGATCTAATGCATCTATAGTAACATTAGGTTCTGGTTTGACTAATTTAACATCTATTGACATGCAAACTGGAAGTCAAGTAACTACTTTACGACAAGGGTGTGTATTGCCATCGCAACATGCAACAGAACAATCATTGATACATGGAAATGTTATTGAACCACTTCCAGTACAGCAAGGTTCTATTCCTCAAAGGATTATAGAAAAATCATCAGTTAGGACAGATATAGGATCAAGTCAACCACCGGGATCTTCAGTAATACCTCCTCCTCCCATGTTCTCAAGTCAAACCAGAACAGACATCCAACCCAGTGTTGGTAAGACAGTCCTGCCACCTTCAGTAGCTAGAAGGGTAACTTCAAATCATCCGTTTATAAAACTTCAGGTTCAACCGGCTGCTTATGCCGAGACTCTATTTGTACCTGATCCTGTAAATCATGATAGTTCTGAAACAGCGACTTTTGCAGGTGTTATAGACACGTCTTCTATAAAGCTACCATCAGCATTTGCTTCTTTTGCACCTGTAGCAAGTCAGCCGACAGTGACTCCAACAAACGTGTCAGAACCGTCAGTATTAAAAGATCAAGACACCTCAAATCCAGTGTCAATTTTTACATCTGGTACCCAAAATGAATCACCATTACCGTCAGCATTTTTAAATGAGACTATTGCGCCACCTCCAATGTTTAACCCTGCAAGTATACAGTCTCTGTCAAATGTACCATTTGGGTTACCGTTGTATTCATCAGGACCTGCAACAAGTTTTCAAACGACTTCAATCGAAACTACTAATACTCTTCCAGCTACATCGCTTTTGACTGGGATTCAACAATCTGCATCACTTGTATCTAAACTATCTGGACCAACTACATCAATACCACTAGAGCTCTCAGAATCAAGTCATGCTAAACCAACTCAATCAACACTTTTTGGACCAGTGATGCCTTCTGTACCTCCGGTTACAAAAGTATCTAAATCACAAGCACCCATAGCGCCATCACCTACTATGTTTGCTTCAATGGTGCCTCCGCCTGTTTCTTCTAAAGCCCCAACGCATCCACTGTTCAATTCAAGAAATATACTTTCTAATATACCAGTCCAAGAAACTCCACCTTTATTCTTAACACCAAGTATACCTTATACAGAAGCAAATCATTTCTTTAATCCAAGTGCCATAGAATCGAATACCGCTAATCCTCAAGATTTATCTAGTGAACAAGTTTGCAATGCTGGTCCTGCTTCAGAACCGCCAAAACACTTAACTGAGCCACCTAAAGCAACTGGAAACCTAAACTACCGAATGACAAAGAAAAGGCCTCAGTATTACTCTGGGCCTATAGAAGGAATTGGAGCTATAAGTAATAATATAAAGCCTTTTATTCAACCTATAGAAAGTGGTGCTTTTCAAGGCAGTTTTTTTACTCCACATCAATCTGCTCCAGAGATTCAGAGCACTCAAGGTGAAGACAATACACAACCTTTTGATATAAGCCGACCAATGCAGCAAACAACGTCTTTAGCTCCATTTGACTTAAGTCAAGCGCAGAATTACAATGAGCCGGACTATAATACGGCATTTGATTTAAGCAGACCTACTGCGGAAAAGTTTGAACCTCCTAAACAAGAAACGAAAGGTTTCGGTCTTATTGGGTCTTTGAAATCTAAGCTCAGTTCTATAGATATCAATAAGATCCAAAGTAGTGTAACGACATTCTTTGATCCTGCTTATAATAGTGCGCCTAAAGAATCAGAAAGCATACAAGAAAACACTACTTATGTACAACAGCAGCCTGCGTATGGGGAATATGGACAGACTCAAAGTAATAATTTCGAAATTTTCGTGCCGTTTCCTGAACAAAGTGATCAACAAAACAATCAAAGTAGATATCAAAGTCTCGGTTCATGTAATCAATATCAAGATTATTATAGCAATCAACACAAATTTGACTCTAATGCACTACAACGAAGTTACAATACACCAGCTAGCTCTGTACCGGAATTTCAAACTGGTCCTATAAATTACAATGACGAAAATTCGTCAGCTGATTATGGGTATGATAAAATATTCTCACAAAATATTAGTCTGTCACAATCATCTAGCACCAACTTTCATAGCTCTTTACAAGAAAATATAGATGAGCAGTCACAAGAAGCAAATTTAACATCAAATCAGACATATACCTCATTAAGCAATGATGAACATGACCAAAAACTTCCATCTGTGACTGATATGCAAGGTCAGTTGTCTGACATGGTAGTTAAACCACCGCATTCGAATATCTATGCAAATTTCCCAATGGAAAGCAAACAAAATAGTGAAACAATATCTCCGTTTCCACGATGTTTAGGTCAATTTCACGAAACATGTACGCCTGTATTAAACGACGAACAGGAACTAAAAGAAGACGTAGCTGTAAAAGATATGAAGCAAGTAGATTTCGATAAAATATTTATTCCTAACTTTATCCAAGCACAACCTCCATCCTCTATAAGTTTCTTCGATATGCCACAACCATTACAAACAAAATCTGAAGAGATTGTTCCTAAAGTACCTGAAAGTCGCCATACCCAAGATGTATCCCATGTCTTTGAAAAGTTTAGTGGTGAAGATAGTTTTGTTACAGAATCAAAGCAAATGGACCATGCCAAAATACTGTCGAGTAACCCATGTGATTTCTTTTCAAATTTTGAACCCTTAAAATCGAAACATCAAGGGATTTTAAGTTTCGAATTGCAAAGTGACAGTGTAGAAATAAAAAGAGACCAGGGTGATGTGCCACTTGAGCTATCAGTTGATTTAAATCCAGACTTAACTATGTCTTCTGCTCCCTTGTTTGGTCTTTCAACTATGCTTGCTATCAAAACTAAAGAATTAAATGATTTAGAAAATGATATGAAAAATTTAGCACTACACGGAGCACCTAAAGAGATTGATTCTATATTCAATCGCGACAAAAATACTAGTTTCTTTGAAAACATTGGAAATTCTGAAGCTCAGGAGTTTAAGAAAGATGAGATACCTGATTTAAATATTTGCGAAACCTGCAGAGAAGTTAATAGACCAGAAGACAGGGATGAGGAAACTGATGACCTAACAACTCAGCTAATCGAGAATATTGTATCTCCTATTCAATTGTCTAACCCAGTTGAAGTCCCTTTAACTGAAAGTAATACTCCAGTTGAAGATAGAGACGATTTCGATCGAAAACAATGCGAAGAAATATCTCACATCACTGAAGACACTATTGAGACGTTGCAAGTACAATCTGCGACAGAATTACTAGATGATCAAAGTAATAACGCAAATATTCGAGCATATGGTTGGTCAATAGAAGAAAGAACGCTAGATGTTTTTAAACATGAACACGATTATGATATGCCAAATCCTCAGGTCCCTATTGGATTCATTGGAAATAATTCTCTGTTTACAAATGCAAGTGATGAAATTAAAGCTGAATTCTATTCACATGATGAAACCCCTGTAGTTTTATCAAAACAGATGAGTATACCATCAGCCCCACCTGAAGAAGATTCAAAGTTAGATGACGCAGGGTTGGACGTTCATTCCATAGAACAGGACGCTAAGGAAGACTTTCCAATCTTTGAAGAATTTGTCATCGAACCTTTAGAAACAGATGATGATAAAATAGAACACAAAGAACGAAAAAGTTCCGAAGACATTCAAGAAGTAGATTCTTTTACAAGCAGAGTTGAAAAATTTAAAAAATTGGAAGAGACAGGACAGCAATTAGAACAAGGACATCAATCTGCAATGATTGACTTGATATCCACTACTAGTCCTTCATTACCAATAGCATCTTACTTTGATACGGGAAATTATGCCGCTGAAACTCACTATCAGTCGCTGTATACTCAGATGCGAGTGCCACCAGGCTTTGAAGAAGAATACCAGAGAAGACTAAGTAACGCCCTCGATCCTAATAAAGGAGATATTTATAAGGACATGTCTCGTGTTCCTGATACAACCACTCAGACTGCGGCTATATTTTCGCCTACATTTAGCATGAGTCCATTCATTCAGGACATAACTGTAGCTTCCGTGGCATCAAAAATGTCTGAATCAATGCAAGAATCAACAATTTCAACCGTGAGCATACAAGAAACACCTGTAATGACTAATATTACTTCAAAGTTAAATACTATTTCCGCAATAAATCCACCTACTTTTGGACAGTTATCGTCGAAAGTTGGAAATATTTCTGCCTTAGTGAAGGAAATTTCGGAGCACCAACAGTTGTCCGAATTAATACCAATTATTAATAAACGAGATTTGATTACCCCGGATACATCTCAAGTTTCTGGAGCTCGTCAAGGAAATTTTGCAACTACGTCAGAAATGCAAGCAGATATTCGTAAACTGACACCGTTTTCGCCTGCATATGCCTCTGAAAATCCGTTAAGAGAGGAAGAATCTAATACATCAAAAGACAATAAACCTTTAGCTCAAATAATTCCTGAAAACTCCCAAACACATCTTCCTGACCCTTTTAATTTCTTTTCCAGTATCATACCTACTGATACATCGGAAGATAATTCGGGTTTCAATAGACTAGCTAGTTACTTCTCGTCGCCAGATAAAACTGAACATACCAAGACTTTTTTTGAGCCAAGTCAAGGACAAAATTATTATCGACATGAATCTAAAACCCCCGACTTAAAAAATATAACAGACGATAAAGTTACCGACCCTGATAAAATTTTTTTTGGACACAGTCAATGTCATAACATATATAAAGAAGATCCGCCAAATATATTCAATATTTCACAAGAAAGATACGTAGCTAATCTAAATTTGATGAAAGAATTGACTTCTACACAAAATTTAGAAATATCTTCCGAACAAATTGTAAGAACCATAAACTATTTCACAGTTGAATATAACAGTGAGTTACTAAAATCACCTACAGAGTTTACACATAAAAATGAAGATAACAACCGTGTTTATATAGACCGTGAACTAGAAAATGTATTTATCGATAAAACAGAGTTAATAGAATACGATGATAATGAAATCAATGATATTATAACTGAATGCAAACATTGCTGCAATATAAAATATGGATATATAGAAAGATATTATAATATATTTCGCGAACACTCTATAACTAGGCCAATTAAGGTAAAGACCTGCATGGACACGGGATCGCCTCCTAAACATACCGCGATGGATAAAGGTTCAGTGTCGTCTAAGAAATCTAAGAGTGTGTCGATGGTTGATAGTTTTTCTATTGAAGAAGAGTCTAAGGATGGTGTAATAGTTGACTCGGATAAAGAGGTTGGTATTCGTTTCCTTCTCACTACTTTTATTGCTATTGCATTTTTGTATTTGTTGAGCTTATAGAAAATTCCAATAACTAGATTATCTAAATAGTTTTCACGAACATCAAATCAGCAGACCAGTTTTTTTACGTGGAAAAATCCTTCTGGATTTCGGTCTCCTGCCAACTAAAACCCCATGGTGTTCCGTATCTGCGCATTGACAATGGAAACGCTTCCGTGCCTGTACTGTAGGCCCCTTGCTAATTGAATATAGCTGAAGAAACTCCACCCCATCGGTCACCGTCGAATCATGTAAACGTAGTGTGAAGAAGCATTTGGCCAGACCGGCAAAGTGATAGTGACGGAGTGAAGATATTTGTGTTTTCCATCCGTTACTCTCATCCCTGGACTGTATTCGCACTTTCCATCAGGCGCGGTGCAGTCATTTTGCCGAGTCACAATAAAAAAAAATAAAAAAAAATAAAAATGTACCTAACTCGACGTTGCCTAAGTCAACGTGACTTGACCTGATCAGACTGATTGTTAATAACATTTAGGTTGTATGTCACGATCTTATTTAATGTGGTGTCCAGTATTGCCACGACCTTTGAAAATTACTTGCAATACCTGAAAAGTTACATTTTTGTCGCTAAAGTAACATTTTCGTTTTTTTTGTCAAAGTCTAAAAAAGGTAGCTTTAACATGTGATTGGTAGATTTAATTTTGAATGCGCCATCTCTAAGTTACTTTGATTGATTTGGACGCGTACCTAAACTATTTAGAATTTATACGTACAAATACAGTTAAATTAGGAAAAAATGTCATGTCTCAAAAGTTACGAAATACATTTACAAAAAATATAAGAAATGTAACCATCTGGCAACATTGGTGGTATTACAAATCGTGTTTCATATAAAAAGTACTTTAATACCCTCAACACAAAAACTACACAATTTCAGGATCCAATTTTAGATCGATAGAGAAAGAGATTACTTTGAAATTCAACCCCAGTTACTTGAAATGTTTTCTCGAATTAAGTTTGTCACAAGAAAGAAAACTACAAAAGTACGAAGCTATGTTTATATAGGTACATCAATAGCTGATGACATTGGCTGATGTAATAATGGATCTAGAGTTTCAAAGGCACTTCTTTCTGAATGTTAGATGACTATTTCACCTACTCATCCACTGAACGTGGCAATGATTCCAAATATTATTTACACTGTTTGGATCTGATAAAAACAGTACATAAGGCAATAGAACTTTGCGCATTTTCGAGAAAAAAATATTATATTGTATATAAATATATCAGAAACCGATAAACTTATGAAATAATAATAATAGACGACTCAGCATACCTTGCTTGATCATTGACATAGTGCACTTAAATCGCTTTAAATATCAAACGTAAGAAATAAATGTTTCAAGATTGCACGTAAACTCACGAACGTTACGGAATAATTCTTATTTAGCGTAAAGAGCAAACTTTGAGCTAATGTACTTCACAACTGACAGTAGTTAGCGAATCAGTATTTTTACGCGTGTTGTGGTACTTGTCCCACATTTCGAAAATTGAGATTTGACCATTACCTTGTGTGGACGGGCCCCTAGTGTGCATCGCGTTGACTTGGACTTCAGCAACATTGGCTTTAGCGCCAGTGTTGTCAGAGCTGTTCTTGTTATCCAAATTTGAAACCTGATTTTTACTGTTGCAAGAATGTAAATTTAATGGGAACCCAGGTGCTAATCCCTTTGTCATCCACTATTTCATGGCCTTCATGTTTTTCTTAACTAAATTCTGGAGTATAAATATTTTAGAACCGATCCACTGCGGAGTATACTCCAGTACGTCATCATTGGTTCTACCGAATCGACATCGAAGGGAAATCAACATGGAGAGGCTTCTCCGAAGCGGACTCCAAGGCTTTGGAGGCAGCTTTTAACAGCCGTGAGTATATTTGACAGCAGAACCCTTTAGACGTCAAATTAGACACAATCAGAAGGGAACTAAAATTTACGTATCCTTCAAAGAGTCACTGAACTCTGAATGCTTGGCCTCTTTTAGCGGAGCTGGACGACAAGACCCTGGTGCCAACTGATGGTGGAAGATTTGACGTCAACATCATGGAGAGACTCCGACTTGCTGTTTACTGGTCAGATAAACCTGCTAATGTTAGGAGGTGAGCAACTGAAATAACTTTTACCGAGTTCGAAAACAGGAAGAGGTTTTCAATTCGACTGTTTTTTTCGTGTATGATTTCAATGATTCTCTTTTTGAGGATACCTCAATGGAACACCCTTTCAAATTTGAAGAAAATAGTCCAGCTCTAAATGTGACAAATTAGGGGATATTCATCCCCGGCTAACTCCTCTTTTTTGCATCATCGGGGATGAAAAATAAGTATCTATTTTTCCAAAAAATATTCCCAGTTACGTTTGATATAAATGATGTGTTCTTGACGGATATATGATTGATGGTGGGTGTTTTTTCATTGTTTACGTCACATAAAACAGGTTTATTTTAATTACAGATGATTTTGAAATTAGACTATTTGGGAGATCTCTGGACGAAAAGCATTTTGAATCTCCCGTCTTTTCTTCTTGCGATTAACTTTGAAGTCAATAATTGTAACTTTAAATAACCGACCTCTAAAGTTTGTGAAATCTTCTATTTGCCAGGTTTCATTAAAATCGGTTAACGGAAAGTGGGTGAAATCCAATAAATCGGATTCATCCCCTAGTTTGCTACCCTAAACGCCCAGTTACACGAGATGAAAGATTTCGCGCGGCCGCCTAGTTACTACGCCTTCATGTACATTGATGGCGAATCTGAATTTTATTTACTAGGCAACAACATTTAAATTCCTCTGAATAATACAACCGTGCGGTCCAAATTCAAGCCAGTCTCGCGTGCCCGAGACGCTCATTTAAGTTATAATCTCAGTACAGAGTACTAAAAAAACCGACCTCAAAAGTACGTGGAATTACGTCTATTTGCTAAGTTTCATTGAAATATCTCCTAGTTCGCCACTATACAGGACTTGATACTGGAGATAATAAAAATAGGTTCTCACTACGACACTACTCAAAGTATATCGAGAGAAAAACGCCTTGAATTGGAGAAATAGCAAAATCAACTAAATAATTGCTAAAAGTAATTGCTCCTAAATTAAAGTTAGGCGCTATTTATAAAAATGAATCTTCATGCGTGAACAGCCACCCTTTGAGGTGGATGATTTTCTTCAAAATGAAATGGGACCACTATAGAAATACCCCCTTTCCAACAAAAAAAGAATCATGAAAATCGGTTCACAAATACCGGAGTTATCGCGTGACATACATACAAAAACAAAAAAAAAAAACGTACAGTCGAATTGAGAACCTCCTCCTTTTTTTAAGTCGATTAAAAACGTAAATGCTAAATAAATAGAGCGTATTTGGCCATGACAGTCAGACGCACGCGGTCGCTGTGCGACGGCAACGCGGACTCCGCTCGGCGACCGCGCGCGGGTTGACCGCGATGAAATTCGTGTCGTATAAATGCGCCCTAATGGTGGAATATTTTCTTCAAATTTGAATTGGACTACAACTGAAGTGCCCCCTTTCCAATAAAAAAAGAATCATCAAAATCGGTTCACAATTGTCAGAGTAATCGAGTAACATACGAAAAAAATTGAGAACCTCTTAATTTAGGAAATGAAACCATTTTTGCGGATTTAAATCCGCGTATATTTGTTTTTTCAAACAAACCGACGTTTCGGGCCCTTTACAGGTCCCATGGTCACTCAGTCAACCGTGACCCATTCTTACAAATATTTGTATTTTCAGATGTAGCTGGTTCTATAAAGGCACCACGGATGCTAGATATGTTCCGTATACAGAGACCGTGGCAGAAAAGCTTGAGGTATGTTTTAAACAACGGGACGAATGAGTTGTTCCAACTGGTGGTAAGCGACATATCAAACCAGTTGCAGTGCCACTCAGAGCTTTAAATCCTAAAGAACTGAAAGGCATTGCCACTACACCCGTCACACTGGGACATAAAACTGACAAGTCCCATGTGCCCGTAGTTTCCCCAAAAGTCTTAACCTTCAAAACCCTAACGCAGGACATACGAGCGTGTGTTTGTCCCGTCTCTTGGTATCATAAAAAAAACAAATCTTCTGAACTTGGAATTGCAAAAAGACTCAACTGATTGTAATTTCCAAAAGCAGTGTCATAACCACGGAAGAAAAAAAACAAAGATTACTATCAGAATCGCTGTCACTAAAACTCACGCTTACATAATGTTGAACACTATGAAATCTTCGTAGTTTCTAATTTAAAAAGATGATGTCGCAATTGTGAACTGTTAATATAATTTAAACTTTAGCCAGTTGGCATATCGTTGAAAGTTCAATATGCCTATTATTGCCAGTTACATTTTGATTTTATATTGAAATTTTATTCAATGTGCTGCAATCTAGCGGCAATAGCTGAAAGATGCTAAAGACGCCTATTGACGTCCTCCAAAACTTCTACCATATTGCAGCCTTATAAGGTTTACTTTCGTTCATTATAACAAAAATTTGTTACAAACAGAAAATGAAAAATTTATTGAAATAAAATAAAATAAAACTTAACGATAATATGAAACACGAGATAATTGACGTACAAAGCGATAATGGCGGACTGTGCTCAAGTACATGGAACTGCGCGTACTGTTGGCACACGCACTGCCACTAAGCACTTCTACTGTATTTATTGTTCTGTGGTCATGACTGTGAGTGGGTCCCTAGAGAGTACATAAATACAATTGTTTAGGAACGCAGTTGACTGAAGACTGGGACAATAAAACACGGTCACAGTGTGTGGTGACAGTAGTTCCGTGGACGAACTCAGAAGGAGGAACGATTACCACTATACTCCGTTTCAATCCATTTTAAATAAAGAGTAAACAAACAAGTAGCTTACCCGACCATAGACGGTTTAGTGATGGCCGATTTAAATGCCAACTACAAATCGATTAATTAATGGAATGAATCGATTTGTTTAATTGAGTTATACTAGCGGTTTTTCTTACATAGCTTATAAAAGCATATTTAAAATTACCGAAATCATAATTTTAAATCCTCCTGCAAATTCTTACACTTACACAACCATAGACTGTTCATACCTTTATAGTTAAAACATAACCTCACTTTTTGACTATCATTTTTCAAATACGGTTTCACGATGCTATGCAAACGAATATTGTTGCAAAAAGTGATGAGATATCAAGTCAAAATCTTCGAAATACACTTGAAAGTGTTACTTATACGATTTATTGAGGTAAACTCAACTTTTAGTCCAAAATGGATTGGAACAGACTTGGACAGACTCCCTTCGTAATTTCAGGAGGAATACAAACGGGGCATGAGTACCGGAGAATGGCATAGACGTCTTGTGCTCCCCAACAACGAGCTGGTGGTGATGCATGGGCCAGCCGTCATGGTGCACTTTCTGCAGAGCAGCGCTGCAGATGCTTTCAGTGGACCCACTGTAAGTATTGTTGTTGTGGCTCGTGGTCCAGGAGTTCATATACTGTGCACACGACTATCGAAACTTACTTTACTTACTTAAATTTCATTCATAAATTCCGAAAAATAACGTGTTTTGAATCAAATTTCAAAATTCGATCCTACGGCCTGTGCTTGAAAGGCGGCAGTTCAAAACATTATGCTGCCATGGCTTCCTTTTGGGATAATATTTGATCCTCATAGATATAATTGATCCATTGTAATTGTGTACTTTTTTTAATAAACGATATTTTTTTTATGTTGATACCTATATATATTAATTGTTCCGTCTATATTTGTTTATCTACGGATAAGTCGACCTCTCCTACGTAAAATATAGTATGTCGAAATTGCCAAGTTTACAGGGGAACGTTTTAAAGTTTTGAATTCACTGAAATGAACGTAACACGCGACTTTAGCATTTATCGCTTTTATTCCCCAAAGCGGATTAGATGATCACTCTATGTGAGCAACGCTCCCCTGTAAACTTGGCAATTTCGACATACGATACTTTACGTAGTAGGGGTCGAAATCATAAATGGATTGCATTCAAAGTAATACTATCATTATGTTTAAGCATACTAAATTAATATATGATAGTCAAATAAATATTTGATCCCTTTTTTTTTAATATAGGTCAAATCATGGTTGCGCCCTCCATTCAGTAGGTTAGGTTAGTATATGAAAAAGCAGCGAGTGCCAGAAGCGAATTTGCTTGCGTTTCCGAAACTGGTTTCATCTCTTTTAATGCTCATTTGTCTTAGTTTTGAGCCTAAAGCTGAAACTATCAAAGTTAATTTATACAAATCAAAAAACTAGCTCACAACAGATTAAGTTAAAAATGATCAATCATTGAAAAAGATGATTTTGCAAATTTTAAATGATCATTTAAATACATGCTCTTCCTTTGTCCATAAAGAGTTCATATTTCTCCACTAACCTAACCAAATCATTATCCTGAATCCCATCAAAATTCAATCCTAGATGTTCGCTTTCGGGAAACGCGTATACCGCAACCCCCCGAAGATCAGCGTGGCTCGGAACATTCCTCCAAAGGTCGACCACCTGCTGCTACTTGTTCATGGCGCTGGAGAATATAGACATCAGAAGGAGAAGACTGTTAGTTCCTTGCCTTGTTCCTATCCAGTTCCATCCATTTCATTTACAGCATCTTATATCCTTCTTTCAATCTTCATTATTGATAAATAAATTAGAATCTATGATTATGATAAACTTCCAGAAAAAAAGTTCCTTAACGAAAATGTCGCTTCTTGAAATTTAAATTTATTATTATTGAGTCCTGATTATAACAGGTGCAGTGCCACTCAGAACTTTAACATAAGTTGACAAGTCCCATGTGCCTGTAATTTCACCAGCACCCATACCCTTCAAAACCGGGACGCAGTAATGTCCACATTAGTGCTTGGCGGCAGAAATAGGTAAGGTGACAGTATTTTCCTGGGCAAACTCTTTCACTAGAGCTAGTGTTTCTAACGTTTCACATAACAACAATTGACTAATGTAGGCACTTTTTTCAATCAACTTGCTGTTGAATCTTGTTGAAATTATCCGGTGTGCAGCGCGAAATAACTGTTACGTCAACTATCACTCCCCCGCACCGC